CCCCACCCACCATATTCTCCAGATATGGCACCATCAGTTTAACATCGTTTTCGTTTGCTGCAATACCATCTTAATGGGAAAACGTATGCAAATGTGGAAGGTGTTAATGAGGACATCGACATGTTTTTTGCTTCAAAGGCAAGTGATATATTTAATCAGGGCATTAACAACCTGATTGTAAGATGAAAAAGCATCATCGATAAAAATAGACACTGTTTCATTTAATAAATGTTTTGTTTTGATATATACGTTGTTCGGGTTTTTACATATAAAAAAGCGACATTAATTTCTTGACGACCTAATAGTTATTAGTGATTTCATCATCTCGGTTTTATCTGGAATTCGTTCGCTAAATATAAAAAAATAAGATATAATCGTGTTTTTTTTAAGTGTAACTAGAGGGGCACTCAGTAGAACGCATACCTCCGCCACGCAGCGTTGATCATGTTCGGCCCTCAAAAAATACGAAAATCAGTCCGTATGTCCGTTGTTATCAACAGACACGGGGCATTTTTGTCAGGACAATGCGAAATAATATTATATATAAGGCTACCAAGTTTCATAGAGTTTATAGAGCAAAAATAATGTGAAAAATCGTTCGCCATGTTAACATATGGGGATTTTTGGATTTTCGTGACCTTTCTGTGACCTTGACCATCCAAAAACTAATCAATTCTAAGTTGGGTAATAGTCCAAATGTGTACCAACTTTCGTTTAAATCCATTCAGCCGTTATCAAGAAATCTTGCTAACAAACAAGCACGCACACACATACACACAGTGTGAAAACGTAAGCTCCGTCCACCTTTGGTGGCGGAGGCAATAATAGGTACAAACTAGCACTCGCATAAAGACGTATAAATGTAACCGAATACGTCAGAGATCGCAGAATGCTTGTCTCTCAGTTTTTAATTAAAATTATTATGATTAACATTGAATAGGATGGTGATGACAAAGAATAGCCGTTGGTATTCATATACGCTGTTACGGCTTTTGAATTCCTCAGAACACTCAAACACAACAGTAATAAGTTTGGTCAGTCTAGGGCGTAACGAAGATTTAGGTTAAAAAAATAAAAGTTAAACACATAATCTAATATCTAATTTCCTTTTCTTTGCAAACAGGATGAAATTAGGCAACTACTAACTACAACTTTTGGCGTGAGACATGAGCCGGGTATTGTCACTTGAAGTTGTCAATTATGTGTTGGGTGGGTAAATAGGGGAGGCTACTTTAATGTTAAAGTTCTGTGTTTAACAATGGACTATTATATACACAGGTCGTTTTTTATGAAGCGAATACCCTTAGTCTATACTGTTGACCACAAAATAAGGTCAGCCTAAAGCATTGTTAGGTTTCACTTTCAATATCGGGACTCAAGATGTTATGAGGCATTACAGGAAACTGTTCTTTGCTGAAAATGAGTATTGGTACGCACATCACGGATTTCCAACAAAAAGTGTGGACAAATGACGTTTTATTATATGATGTATGTCTTAAGTGACATCGATGAAGCCTTGCAATATCAAAGTTCATCAAAACTTGTCAACGGTGATATCAAACATTTTTGTACCGTCAAGGCACAGTGAGATAACTTTGTTAGAATGTCAAAAGGCCGAATCAAAGTAGAATTGAAATGCCATTCTTGCACGTATCTGGGTGAAAACCTGTAATGGATATGCTAATGATCTTGTGCCAGCAAATACAGTAATTTACTTATAATAATTCATCGTACACTGTAGTCAGAAATGGATTAAGTAATTTCGACGGCGTTTCAAAGTTGTTGTTTTTTATCATCGTATGTCTAGTTTATAATTCTTAAAACTAGTGAAAAATCAACTTGAGTTTATAGAAAATTATATATATGATGTAATTTCAGTGCACTTGGCTACACTGACCAGTGAACAAATTTAAGCTAGAAACAAAAGACTTTAAGTCAATAAATTCTAGACCATCAATACAAATTAAGAACAAAGTTGTTGGTCAATAATAATATCTTGAATAACTATTTTCGTGAGACAGATTTTCAGCGAGGGTCATGAAATGCGCCCTCTTGGTTAAAGAAGAAGAATATTTACAGTTTGAGGCAAAGTAGAAGAGTCTATTTTAAACAATAAAATTGTTTTTGTTTTTCACACACGAATTTAGTTCTTTTAAACACTGAATAATAAGATATTTTTGTGTTAGGGTCTGCTTGTTAATTTCAGCTGCAAATTGCATAATTTGTACGTTTTTTATCTGTGTTATAATAATGAAATTCATTGTGTGAAAACAATTTTTCAACGTTCAGTTTTTTAGTGAAATTTTAGAACTGTAACTATTATTGAAACTGATTTATTTCTTCTAAATATATTTTGTTTTCATAGTCTTTATCTTTTAACACACAGTCTGCGAGTCAATGAGACCGAATTTTGGGGATTGGGGGTCACGGTTTCTGGTATTCAACTAAAACGATGTACTCTGATAAAAGCGTAGATCTGTTGAACTCAAAAACCATACTTTACTGTCAAATGAACACACCTCTCAATAATGTTCGGCCACGAAGATGCAGAGTTTAGAGGGTTAGCCGGACTGTCTTTATCTTGCGCAGTATAGTAGAAGTGTTCATGATGCTATACATTCGGCAAGTACCTCACTTAGCCACCTTACAGCGGCAAGTAAACTTCGATTAGCCATCTCTATCGATAGAGCTCGCGAAAACCGTAGATCAAACGGCTTTATAGAGCTGAAAAACTAGATCTTGTATCGCCAAACAAGTACTGCCTCTGGATTTTGGATAAGGATGTTTATTTTACTCACTCACAACCTGGAAACAAGTGCAAATTCGACCACACTGATGAGAAGTTCTAATTCCAGCTATCGAACGGAGTTTAAATATCTATTCAGAATATAAAAGCGAGAGTACTGGAAAGCTTTGTTTGGGGATGAATCCACCAAATATGTCCCCGACTCACAAACTGGAAACAAGTGCAAATTCGATCACACTGATGAGAAGTTCTAATTCCAACTATCGAACGGAGTTTAAATATCTATTCAGAATATAAAAGCGAGAGTACTGGAAAGCTTTGTTTGGGGACGAATCCACCAAATATGTCTCCCGACTCACAAACTGGATGCTAATTCACTCAACAAGAAAGTGTATGTGTGAATCCACCAAATATGTCCCCGACTCAAAAACTGGATGCTAATTCACTCAACAAGAAAGTATATGTGTGACTCCACCAAATATGTCACCGACTCACAAACTGGATGCTAATTCACTCAACAAGAAAGTATATGTGTGATTATTCAATATTTAATTACGGATACCTTTTTATGCGAACATTCGTAAAATGGAATAAAACTAGAAATGCTTAATTTCATCTTCAAAAACACCTTGAACGTTGGAAGATCGCAGTAGTATGCCCTATTTAACAATTAATCAGGATTATGGCAAATATACATTGTGCAATAAACTCTACATAATTTTAATTATCATTTACTTGTTTTTTTCTGCATGTTCTTCTGTGAAATCTGTTAAAGTTTTCTTAACTATACTTTTTTGTGTTTTATCTGTAGGTGTTTGCTATGCAGAATTTGGTGTCAGAGTTCCACATACAACAGGCTCAGCTTATATGTACAGCTACGTCACCGTTGGAGAGTTTATTGCATTTGTTATTGGCTGGAACATGATATTAGAATATTTGATTGGCACAGCTGCAGTTTCTTGTGCTTTAAGCGCCTGTATAGATGCACTTTGCAGTGGTGCAATAAGCAAGATCATGAAAACAAATATTGGAACAATGCTAGGTAAGAGTCAGTTTAGAGCTACATAAATCGATACCTTGACGCTAATAACTATAAGTAAAAAACTGTATGTTGAGAACAAACGATTTTAAGGTCCCTAACATCTTATTTACCCAAGTATTAGTTTTTTCATCGGAATCATTTCAAACTCGAGAGATAGGTTTGGTTTGTTTATCAAAAACAAAAGGAAAGTTTTTACTGGGTTTAAACACTTTTACTATCCCCCTGTCTTCAGTGTTGTTTTTATAAAAACTTTATAATTTAAAAGTCGGCTTTTTCAATACAAATATTTTGGTTTTATTTTTTAAGTTTTTTTTTTCTTTGAAAAATAAGGCCTAGAACAAGCCTTTGTCTTTCTCATTGAATGAAGGTAACTTATCTTCCTAGTCTTGTTTTCTACTCAGTTTAATATCTTAAAGGTTTTATGATAATTATTCAACTATGGATCACTAATGCGAACCCTCTTTATTTATTTATTGTTCTTTATATTTTGTAAAAACATTCTCATTACTATTAAGTGTAAGAACTTAACAGTGAAAGTAAAGAAGAATGTATAACAATATGTCAAGCACACTATATATATATATATTGTCTTCAGTGCCAAATAAGGCCTTTCATCAAATACCAGGACTCATCGGGTCAGGCAGAGACGTGATATATATATATATGTGTATTATAACATTTCAGGAACAACTGTTATTCAATAAAACTTTATTATATATACATTATGTCCTTTAGATTGCTGTGGTTACATTTTAAGAAATAATCAGATATTGACTTACTTTGTTATATATATATTATGTCTTACCTCAGACTGCCGTTGTTATATTTGAAAAAGTAATAATATGCTGAGTTATCATGTTTTGTTGCATGAATAGGACACACACCTGACGTCCTTGCTGCAATTATCACAATACTGATGACAGCACTCATGGTGGCTGGTGTTAAAAAATCTCTTCTTTTTAACAATGTCTTAAACACCCTTAATTTTGCTGTTTGGATTTTCGTGATGGGAGCCGGATTATTTTACGTTGATACTACTAACTGGACAGAACACGGCGGGTTCATGCCTTATGGTTGGTCAGGGGTACGTTGATAATTTCATTTTGTTTATTGAAATTTGTAATGGGAAAGTATAACTTCTTTCCACATTTCAATATGCTTTTAATTCTAACTATACCTTCTATTAACTTTGAATACGAGAAACACTAAGATGAATAAGAATTCAACAAAGTTTAAAATGTTTACTTTTTCACTCAAATGATCTAACGATTATTATTTTTTTTAGAAATAAAATTTCACTCTTAAAAAATATTCTCTTTTAAAAAAGTTAATGTTTACCAATAACTTGTCACCAGTTTCTTTGTTTTTCATGTTTTTATACTATTCCGTTAGGATTAATTAATTCCGTTATTCTAATTAGAATATTTTTTTAGATAATTATTCATTCAGCAAAACTTGGAAACTTTTTCTTCTTCTTGTTAGATATATTAATCCCCAAGTTACCAACTTATTTAGATACTGTTCGCTACTGTTGCCCGAGGTCCACGTGTTCCGTATTGTTGAGTAATTTGATGATGTTTCTTTTTCTGTTACAGCAATCAGTGTAAATCAGTAAACAAAAGTTGTAATAATTAGTAGAAATAATTGCAATATTGATGGTTTGTTTATTTATATTTAAATACAATACACATAATAGGCTATCTGTGCTTTGCCCACCCGATTTTTAGTGGTATAACCCTTCAAACTTACCACTGAGCCACTGGAGGGCAATACTAGTGATATTTTTCTTCATATTTTTTGTTTGTGACTCGTATATTGTGCTTTTAACCAACAAAGTCGTGGGCCTACGAACAAGTTTATACATAAATAGTCTAGAAAAATTTGTTTGAAAATCTCACTGGGTCCATATTATTCTGGGGTTAAACACAAATGTGTAAATATGAGTTTATTAAATAATCTTAACCTATTCATATCTCAGAACATTGGAAAAATGCGACGTGGGCCCGCACTAGTATTTTTAGTGGGCCACAGAACAATATTTGTTCTTATTATGGAGGACCTTCTTAGTAATTTATAATCAAATATTAGATGTTTTTGAAAATAATCGTATTTTCTATTAATTGTGTTTTTTCATCTCGCGCACTCCACTTTTAATTATATAAGTAGTTAATTAATTTCATAATCACAGGTACTTGCTGGAGCAGCCACATGTTTTTATGCCTTCATTGGATTCGATATCATCGCTACTACTGGAGAAGAAGCCAAGAACCCTAAGAAGTCTCTGCCACTTGCCATTATTGTCAGTTTACTGATCATTCTAACGGCTTACATCACTTCCAGTGCCATTGTAGGTAACAGTTGAGTTCTTAAAATTCTATGCCTATTTAGAAGTAAAGATGTATGTTAGAATACTAAACATACTCGATTTAGAAGTGAAGATGTACGTTAGAATACTCAACTTAATCTATTTAGAAGTTAAGATGTATGTTAGAATACTAAACATACTCGATTTAGAAGTGAAGATGTACGTTAGAATACTAAACTTAATCTATTTAGAATTGAAGATGTATAGTAGAATACTAAACATACTCGATTTAGAAGTGAAGATGTACGTTAGAATACTAAACTTAATCTAGAAATTTTCTAGGTTAGAAATTAAACCTTCCCATCAATACAAATATATATCAGTCTCTCTCTCTTTCTCTTTCCTCTTTCTGTCTAAAATGTCCAAACAGGGAAGGTGAAAGAAGTGATATGTTCTTCTCCTCTCTAACAGTAAAAAACTTTCAACAAAACGAATCTTCTGATGACTTGTCTGGATTTTTCTTACTTAACTAATTTCTGAAGTAGTCTGTTGTGAAAATTCTTTCTTTCACTTGCTCCCGACAAGTCATTCTAGTTGGCATACATATGATTTTTAAATTATAATACAATGATCATGTATGTAACAAAGTAAATCTATGTGGAAAAATAAAGCCATTGATTGATAGTTCTTTTGTTCACATTTCCTGTTCGTTTCGGGAACGATATTGAACCATTTTTTCAGATTATTGGAGGACACAATATTAAGCCTTAAAACGTCATCTATTGGAAAAAAACAGGAAGGGGCAACCGGGACTTCAAAAAAACAATGCCAAACAATTGATTTCATTCCCTAAACTTATGAACTTATTATAATTTCTTTCAGGCATATCATGTTGTTGTGTTAAGAGTAAAAAACAAAAACGAAGTTTTCTTTTGGCACAGTTAAAGATAAATTTCTTAATAAAGATTTTATCGTTCATTGTGCCAAAAGAACGTCATTTTTGTATTTATTCTTAAGGAACATAATATTGGATAAATATTTAGGAGGTCTATGCTTACATATTCTCTTTTATTTTTATCCTTATGTAAAGATTTATTATTCATTTTAAATGTTAATTATCCAAAAAAAACATTCCATTTATTAATCATTTAACATTGTACGCAATTTGTACTCTTGAAGATAGTCCGAACACTACAGAAAAATAACTTTTTTTATCCTTTGTTTTGTCAGGTATGCTTCATTATTATCATTAGCTTGCTTGATAAGATTTAAAATTAAATGTTGTGCTGTAATATCCAAATTAATTAAACGTTTGTCTGTAAGGCAAACTTGTTCATGTAGCTGTAAAAATATTCTAAATAACAGTCATACTAGGAACCAAGAGTTGTTGTTTTTTTCTCCTCATGTTTTATTGAGTTTCCCTGATAACTGAAGCATAACGTTATTAAATTTTGACATGAATTTTTCTTATGCTTGAAAAGTTATAATTTCGCAGGTAACTTTGGTCGTACCTTATGACCAGCTCAACGCCGAGAGTGCGCTGGTGGAGATATTTCAACAACGTGGAGCTACGAATTCCAAACTTATTGTAGCGATTGGTGCCCTAGCAGGTCTGATTGCAAGCATGATTGGTTCAATGTTTCCAATGCCACGGATAGTATATGCTATGGCAAAAGATGGGCTGATATTTAGGTGTGTAGTGAAATCTTGTCGTTCTAGATTTGGTATTTCATGCAATAATTGAATTAATAAACTGGCTTAGAACGTTGGAAATATATTAGATTTATTAGTTAATATATTCGTTGCATATCGAGTTTAAAGGAACGAATCGTTCATCTCAAAGTTTAGATCATGTTGAAATCATCATAAAGCCAGAACTTAACTAAATATCTATCAATTAACACGTTAAAGCAACTACACTAAATGTATTTATACTCGTTACGTTAGTTAGGTGTACTGGTAATTTAGTGTTGCTATTCACGAAGATTTTAAATATTTTGTGCGTTGGCCAAGTAAATGAATGAATGACAAGTAATTTCTTCAAGAACGGCACCCTATTTTTGTAATATACACTAAGCTGAAGAGTCGATGTAGTTTTTAATTAGGCCTAATTAGCTAACTGTTCTGTGTCCCGTCTAATATTAAATCGAGATAACCTCTTTTAGCCGCAGCATAACGGCTCATAGAATAGCTCTGAATTTATTTATTTTTTCAAGTACAAACTTTTAGCTCATAGCTCTATCATCTATTAACCAATTTGAGATCTAATTACAGTTTTGGAGTCGGGAGGTCAAACCCTCTGGATTGATATACTGACCACGCCCAAGGTCTCGTGGCTTAAAATTACTCTAATCCTGCCTAAAAGAATTTCAATTTGAGGGTAGGCTGGTAGAGATCGTGATGAGTAATAAAATCGAATCGGGTATACATGCACCCCATGCTTGGCATTGCTGACGCACAAAAATATAGCAAATAGAAAGGAAAAAATGGTTCGTAGATTAATTTACTCTAATCCTGCCTGAAAGAATTTCAAGTGCCGCGGCTGTTGAGGATTCTTTCTTGTTTCATTTCAAATTGCTCAGCAACGTACTAAATATTGTAGTTTCACTTTGATACATCCTAGATATTATACTGAGCTTATCTTCAAATAAAATAGAAATAATATAAAATTATAAAAAATGTATTCCAGGTTAATTAACTGGTAAGCATGAGATTTATAAATTTATGAAAGGAACGATAAAATATATTTTTCATTTCAGATTTTAGCCAAGTATGACTTAGCGGTTAGTGTGCTCGGACTGTAAATCCAAGACTTGATAGTTCACAGCCTCTTGCCACAAACACGCGCTCCACACTTTGGGACTATAGGTGCGCTATAAGAATGACAGTTAAAATTTGGCTGTGGGTCCTGTTGACTAGCTGCCCTCCCTCTAGTCTATCAGTTAAAAACTAGACCGAGTAAGCGTAGATCTTTATGTAGCTTTCTCCAATCATTAAAAACACCACCATGGCAACGAGTGAAGCCCCCGCCTCAAAAAAAAAACACCCACTGTCCCAATTTTTCGTTCATATGAATTAAGATCAATAAAATTATTGATATTACAGACTACTAGATTTTATGTCAGACAGCTAAATACCAAGAACTTCTCGTATTTAACATATTTACTTACGTTTTATATTAAAAAGAAAGGTGCATTTTGTTGTAGTTTTATCCATGTGTACTTAAATCGGGACTTTCCATCTTGCCTAAGAAAGAGGGTTGGGCAAAGGATAAACAAAATATTAATAAATTCCATGTCAGAAAAATATTTTTCACTTTGTAATTTTGCCAGCTTTAAATCTATTTTTTTACAGTTTTACAGAAAAATATTTTAAATTATTTCAGAGTGCATTAAAATATTAAAAATTATCACTTTAAAATAACAATTTTAACTTCAGGTTTTTATATTCAGCTATTCGCAAAGTCAAGATAATTCTATACGAAAATAACATAAAGTCTGGTATTATATATATATTTCTTGTACGTCAAGAGTCTTCTGTGACGTAACAATGCATCTGTAAAGGACATACCTAGCATGCTAAAACTGCCAGAAGCAAACTGTAAATTACCAAAATTCCAAAAGCTATACCTACCCAAAATTCTTAGACTCCTGACATATATGTTAAACCGTAAGGAAGCGCTTTTTAAATTTTTTCTCAAAGTTGTTACAAGAGTATTTGTTTGTTTGAAGTTAAGCACAAAGCTACACAATGGGCTATCTGTGCTCTGCCCACCACGGGTATCGAAACCCGGTTTCTAGCGTTGTAAGTCCGCAGACATACCGTTGTGCCACTGGAGGGCTCTTACAAGAGTAAATCTATTTTGGCGAAATACCAAATGAAATCACAGGTTCGTGTTTATCAAGTTTATTATGTTTCAGAGTTGGTGAATTCAACTTTCTTTTGCAATTTTATAGATAAGATAGAGAAAAAAATGTATATATCTATTTCATACAAACTACTGTGATAATCAGCACCTTTAACTTCTTTTTTTTTCAGATCTCTTGCTAAAGTCTGGTCCTTAACAGGCACCCCAGCAGTGGCAACTTGTATATTAGGCCTTTGCACAGCCCTTGTGGCTTTGGTAGTAAGCCTCGAGGTCCTTGTAGAAATGATGTCTATTGGTAGGTTTAAATTCTAAAATAGTTCCTTTGTTATAATAATCCATATTGGCAATAAAAAGCTGAGTTCTGTTTCTATAAATACGGCTGTTGTGCATAATATGCATTGAAAATAAGAACGTATTCGATCATCGAACTTGTTCATGGATTACGTGCTATCTTATGGGTTAATGATCAAAAATAATTACTACCTTCAGATCTACATTACTTAGAGAGAATTTTACATTATTTGGTTAGTCCTCAGTACTATAACTTCTACGTGAAACATGCTCTAAGCTCAGTCTTATATGACGTTACAATAAATTCATATTCAGGTGTTAATTTGTGAGGTTAGGATAAATTCATATTCAGGTGTATATTTGTGAGGTTAGGATAATCTCATATTCAAGCGACATTTTATGATGGATAATTTCATATTCAGGTGATATTTTGTGAGGGATAAATTCATATTCAGATGTTAATTTGTGAGGTTAGGATAAATTCATATTCAGGTGTTATTTTGTGAGGTTAGGATAAATTCATATTCAGATGATATTTTGTGAGGTTAGGATAAGTTCATATTCAGGTGTTATTTTGTGAGGTTAGGATAAGTTCATATTCTTGAAAAATGTAATAGCATGCCATAGCAGCAAAATAACGCAGTATACCTAGTTAACGATTAACTTATGGGTTAATTTACGAAAGAACGTATAGGGTTAACTTCCTCCCCCCTCTTCTATGCAAATGTGGTCGTTTTTACTGGAAAATTTACTGAATATTAATGTAATGTCCTGCAAAAACAAAACAACTAAATTCCATACTGCAATACGCAGCTTCAAACTTCACAGCTGGTGATGCTGATAAGTTATCTCGACGATTACTACGACTGTCTTGTCTCTCTCAAACAGGGACATACATACACAAGGAGGGCAAGCAAGAGCTATCTCTCCACTCCCCCATACCTCTATACACACGGACGCGGTCGTTTTGATGAGTGTAATGCTATTGATTTCTATGAACATGATGTATATACATACATAAAATGTGTGTGTGTGTGTGTGATGAACGTGCCCTGCTCCAACAGTGGTCAAATTTAAATTCCTGCGCACGGTGCTCCTCTCGTGTGTAAGTAAATCATTAGAAAATACAAAAATACTTTTTATGAATGCGCCACGGAAACATGGCACTGCATTAGTAAGCACAAGGTAATCTTAACGTTTCACGTGTAGCATTTTAATGGTAAATCCTTAAGGAAATAATTCAGCATTTGAATGGCTGGTTCTTTATCTTTTCAATGTAAACTCGAATGTTGTGGAATTAGCTAGCGACAACAATAGTCACTAGTACTTGGTTGGTTTAAAAGTGTAGAGCGTGAAAAGATACAAATTTCATTCTGTCTTATTTAATAGAAAGGATGAGATTTTAACTCAGAAATTGTTTTATTTAATTAAATTTCATTACTTTTATTTTCACAGGTTTCGTAACTTTAACTTCCCCAAGTTACTCTTCAGAAAATCGTTGAAGAGAACTAAAAACCTTTATGAAATTTACAATATATTTTCCTAAAAATAATAATAAAAACAGTTGTAAAAAGAAAAGAAATAGTTAAACCTACACAAACAATGCACACGTGCTGAACAGAAGAGGTACCTTTTGAAAAAACCTGCTTTGTACAACTATATATATATTAGTTAGGCTTGGCTCGGTTGCAGAGTTTAACACAGAAGGTTTGTTTGTTTGCTATTAAACACAAAGTTACACAATGAGTTGTATGTGCTGTGCTCACCACGATTATGGAAACCCGGTTTTTAGCAGTGTGGGCCCTCAGACGTATCGCTGAGCCCCTGAAGGGCAAAAATATAAAAGGAAGGAGTAGTTTTCTAAAAGAATAAAAATAATTTTCAAACAATTCCAAATCATCATAAAAAAATGTGCTAAGAATAGTGATTTTACCAGGCCGTTGTTTCCTTACGTCTGTATTACCTTCTAGGATATTCAGGTTGTTTGTACCAAGTTCTGACCCTATTCAATGCACAATTTTGACAATCTTTCTATGTACTTTAATTGTTTTATATCCTATCGCCTATCTGTATTTGTTTACCTCTTGTTTTTGTTAGAAAAAAACTGTATAATGTTACCATAATGAAAACTTCTCTTTCAAATTATCCCCCTTGTGAATCAGCGGTAAGCTTAAGGGCTTATAACGTTAGAATTCGGAGTTCATTCCTCGCGACAGACACGTTGCAGGTAGCTCAGTTTTGCGCTAAAACAAAAAAAGAACATCAAATGTAACAGCTCATTCTAATAGTTTTGGATTATGCAATAAATTCTTGTCTTACAAACATCCTTATTTTTGTTAGTGCATGCTGCAATATTTAGTGATGTTTCCAGCAGTACTTGTTAGCATTTACAAAGTGGATAAGCAGAAACTTAAGTGAAATTAAAATTTTCCATGTATATATGGTCCAGAGGCTAGTAAAGCAGGCTATGGATCCGAGGGTCCAAAGTTTACGTCCCGTTGCAAAAATAATAAAAAATGCGCGCTTCCCAATTTGGGGACGTGGGTGCGTTATAAAGGTGTTGATCAAATCACATTCTTCGGTCAGACAGGAGTAGTCTAAGAGTTGGCAGTGGGCGCTGTTGACTGTTTGCCTTCTCTTTAGTCTATTAGTTCGAAAATAGAGGCCGCTACAGCAGACGACCTTTGTAGGTTTTCGCAAATTTCCGAAAATGTACTAATAGCTAAGTACATTTTCTAAAGTCGAACCATCTGTGAAGGATTAATAGAAAATATATTATACATCTCTGTGTGTAGAACAATACACTATTGTGTGAGAGTGAACGCACAATCAACCAGTAGATTGACAAAATATCAGTGTTTATTCCTGAAGTGCTGACTAAAACAGCATTTTGGACAACTGCTTTTATTCTTTGTCAGAGATTTTAAGTTTTAGTTCATAACACTTAGAAAGGAAGGATATGAATTTGTTTTTGTCTAAAAAGTACCCAAGAGTTTTTTATACAAATAAAAAAATCATTAATTTAACTTATGCCAGTACATAAAAAGCATATCACTTTTGAATTTGACATAGCTTTTTTATTTTAGCCCACACTAATTCTCGCTTTACAGAACGCGTAATCCATCGCTATAACGTTTTTAAAGCTAAATCTTAATCTTTGAATATTTATTATAATTGGAAACATTGTAAAATTATTTGTGATATTCATATTTGATATAACAATGATATAGGTGAAAATATTTTACGTATAATTGGTAAGGGGCTGATTGTGGCCTACTAATTAACCTGCCAAGATTGTTCATGGTTTGCGACTCGCTGCCATAAAATTGCACTCTGCACTTTGTGCCCGTGGGTGCTATTAACTACTTTCCTTCCCCGTAATCTATTAGTTGGCCAAGCATGGCCAGGGCGCTCGACTCGCAATCTGTGGATCGAGGGTTCGAATCCCCGTCACACCAAAACATGCTCGCCCTTTCAGCCGTG